GAGTTGTGAGATTTAGGATCACGCCGTAGTACACCTCCTGACGTGAAGCAAAGAACTCATCAGTATTTCATTTATTCCTTTAAGATTGGGACAGACCACAAGAGACCGGAGTATAGATGTAGTTTTATAATTTTCTTTCATTTCTGAACCCTTATTTGCTGCTGCCACTTCAGCTCACTGCCACTGCGCTAGGCTGTACCCTTGTTATCTGACGTATGCAGTAACCTCACCTGATTTCATTGCAGTCTGGAGATTCTTAACCCAGTTCCTTAAAATAATCTCCTGATGGGATTCAGGGATCTTCAAATCCCTTAAAATTGTTTGTAAGACTCAGTGTTTCTGTATGTGCTGATGCCTCTGTCTGCTGAGCAGCTGAATAGCTTTCATCTCTCACAGGGGCCAACAACTCAGAAAAGCTAGAGGATCCCTGTTCCAGTCTTTCCTGATACGACCCATTTCATACTCTGCTGCCAAAGCAGTTGTCCTGAAATCTCCAATAGCAGTTGATTATAAGCTCTCTTCTGATGGATCTGTTTCCTTTTTGCCCCTGTCTGAATTCCAAAGCCTGTGGACTCTTTGTTATAGCATGTAAGAGTGGAAGGGGACAGCCAGAAATGCCTCATGAGGCTTTCTGGAGTGCGTAACCCCTTAGCTGGACACGTAGGAGTTACTGGAGCAGAAAAGGAGGTTCCTAAGGTAGAGGGAACCATGTGAGCCTTGAAGAACAGCTTAGTGTTACCCAGTGATCCAAACACTTTAATGCTTTTTTCATTCTGCCCCTAGCTTACGTTTTCCATCGTGTCTTACCATTGTATCACACAGTTCTACCTGTGCTTCAGATGTTCTAAACCTCTTTGTTCCCCCAGTTTCTCCCTGTGTGCTCACAATTCTGCTTCTTTGTTCATCCTCTTGTGTTGGCCTTGAAGTCCACATCCGGTCAGGTAGGGCAGAGAACACGGGGTGGTGAGGAGACTTGGGGTGGCTGGGAGAAGTGGCCGTTGTGGGGATCTTGAACAAGGCATGCAGTTCCAACAAGGAACAAGGCTATGTGAGTCAGGACCAAGGAATCAAAGCCAGAGTCCAGGCATATGCACAAGTAACCAAAGAGTGAAACACTGAAACCAGGAGGGACCTGTGCTGAGGAGCAGCACAGGGTTATGGGGCAGAAAGCCTAAGTCGGGAAATCTTAAGAGACTGAACGAGCAGTGGGAACAGAGTGGAGGGTCGATTTCCCTGGGCACTGTCAGCAGTGGTTGATAACGGGCACTGTGGCTCTCGGCTCAGGTGTTGAACATGCTTATGTGTTTCCTGTTGTGGCAGGAGCCGG